TAAACATCGATGATCTTATGGGTTCAATTCATGTTGAAGCCATAACAAGACGTCAGGCTAGAGATAATGCCGACTTAAATGTCGTGCAATGGAGTCAAGAAGCTCCTAGTGAGGACCTGATTACTAGTCAAAAGAGTGATCCCGTCATAGGCATATTCTATAGACATATAGAAGACCCTACTGCCAATCCCATCACAGATGAAGATTGCAAAGATAATGAAGATTTACGAATCTTGATGAGATATAAAGTCCAATTTAGTATCATGGATGGGTTACTGGTCAGAACTTCTAAACATGGTATACAACAATGGGTAGTCCCAACTGTATACAGAGGGTTAATGCTCCAACACGCACACGATGCACCTACATCTGGGCATCGTGGTGATAAGATCACATATGAGATATTGCGTGATTATGCATATTGGGCACACATGTTAAGGGATGTTAAGACATACTGTCAGGGATGCTTGATTTGTCCGCAATGTCAACCCCATGGTCCAACCCATCGTGCACCACTTCAGAAGAGGGGGGTGTCATTACCCTGGTCTGATATTCAAATTGACTTTATAGGTCCTGTAACAAGATCTTCAAGAGGTAACAAATACATGTTAACCGTTACATGTATGTACACAAAGTGGATAGAATGTTTGCCTTGTAAAGAGAACACGAGTACCGTATGCGCCACTTTGTTGATTAACCATGTCTTTTCCAGGTTCGGTCTGCCTCAAAGAATTGAGTCAGACAGAGGTAGTCATTTTACCAGCGAAGTAATGGCTAAGATGTGGAAAATTCTAGGTGTTAAACGAAAGTTACATATTGCATACCGCGCTGCGTCTAGCGGGGGGGTAGAGCGATATAACCAGTCTATCGTTAATATTCTGAAGAAATATGTTAAGGAGTCTGGTAAAGACTGGGACATTAAATTGCCCCTAGTTTTAATGGCGATTAGATCTACACCTAGCACTGCTACCAAATTGTCACCTTTTGAATTGATGACAGGAAGAAAGATGGTTTTACCACAGCATTTACTATACCGTACTTCGGATCATAATTTGATCAATGCTGCCACTACGCATCAGTATATCGAAGATTTGCGCAAACATTTACAGCATGCGTTTGCTTTTGCCCAAAAGAATCTAGAAAAAGCAGCGACAGGGGTTAAGACCTATTACGATTTAAAAACCACGAAAAAGGAATATGAGATAACAGATCAAGTCTATCTGTATAACTTTGCGCGAAATCAAGTCAAGGAAAAGAAATTTTTACCTTCTTGGAAAGGGCCATATGTCATCATTGACAAAATTTCCCCTGTAGCGTATAAGATAAAAATTCCTAAGGATGGTGATTTTATTGAAAAGTGGGTTCACATTAACCAGTTGCGTGCTTGTCATCCTAAATCTCAATTAAGGATTATAGGTGTGGATTCAGACGCAGAAGGGTGAACGACTAACCTGGATGAATGCTTGATTCACGTGGTATAGTATGATGTGAAATGTTGTGATGTGCCATGATCTCATGTACGTCATGTCATTAACCATTTCCTTGCCATCCAATAACTACATTTTATAAGCAGGTTACTAGCTTGTTTAACTGCTATAGGCAAATTGCTGAAGAGTCAGTAATAAATGTAGTGAGGGATGAAATTATAAAAATAGAATTAGACAGAATACATATGTTGATGAATCGTAATAATGTGTTGTCCTAGGCCAAGTGATGTCACACTGTTATAAGTTTGTATGCTTAACAAACCTTGAATCATTAGTAGATAAGTCTGAAACGAGTTTCTGATCCGTGACTGTCGAAAGATGTCCAAGAAGGATGTGGCGTGTTTCTGGATCGTACTGCTCCTGTGCCAAGAGCTACGGACCGACCCGATCGCAGAGATGGGACCATCCTCCGGCATCCTGATTCAAGAGACACCAGGGTTCATCTTAACAGAGAAGAGGATCCTGACCAGACGTGTGTTCGTCAGCTTGGACCCCAAGATTTCCATCGAGAAGGCATACAACATTTCATCGATGCAGCTTCCTGAGTTACAGACTTGGTACCAGATGCACCTCCAAAGAGCACAGGACCGTGTGCGAAATATCTTGGAGCAAGCCCGGAAACCATTTGTATCCAGTTCTATTCCGATGAGCAACCGACCCAAAAGGTTCCTCACCGCTATAATTGTTGCATTAGTTTGTGCCACTGTCGGTGCAGTTGTCGCAACTGGAATGTCTACAGCCAACTCTATTACTGTCCAAAAGCTGGATATGGAAATCTATGCGCTAAAGCAACACATTAACGATATTCATCAGGTGATACAACAGCAAAGAACACTTCTCCAAGACGTGTTAACTATTGTGGAAGACACAGTTGTTACAACAAATTTGCATTCGGAGTTAATTGCCAAAACCACTGAGTTGCACCAAAGTCATGACTTATTTAAGCGTGAACTTCTATTTCTGCATGACCCAATATTGTTCCACACACTTGCTTTTCTCGACGAAGTGCAAACTGGAATGATCGAACTGACAGGGGGACCCATACCTCTGTATTTTGTATCCAAGGATATTGTTCATGCGATGCTTGCCAATGTGGATGGAGAGACAATTGAGCCTATGCAATTAAATCTGGCCTTTGAGATGGGGAGCGCTATACCTCTCTTAATTGATCCGGAACGTATGGAGATTTGCTTTTTATTGACCATCCCATATGTAACTCTCAAAGACATTTTTCAAATGAAAACAATGTACTATGATAATAATGATATTATGGTTGATTGTACTAAGTGTAAAGTTCAAAACTTTTACAGGTACAAATATACACAAAAATGTTCATTCCACGCACGGGCCTATGTTAGAAATGATGTGATTGCACAATATGTCTGGTAACTTCTATAGTGCTTATTCATAAGCTAAATTAATTTTGGCTATGAAATGCACTAAAGGGGGGTTATGTCAGGGTATTTATATCGGCAGACATTTTGTGCTATGATAGAAACTAAAAGTGTATATTCTGAGTCACTCTGAACAGACCAGACTCCATTTTGTTATTTCAAATTAACAAAGAAGACACTATATTTCTATCTGCAAGCAAACCACTTTCCCAGAGCTGAGGAATGCATGGTATATACAAGCCAAGTGATAAGGAAGGGGGTTGGACAGACTGTCTAATGCTAATGGAATATAATCAAATCTAAACCCAGACAATTGTGACAGAGAAGATTAAATAATAAAATTTAACTGTCTATATATATAAGGTACCATTGTATGGAAAAGGGTAAACTTAGTTCATGATCTGTCATATCAGAAATTATGGCAGGAATTGCAGACGCTAAGTCTGGACAAAATTTAAGAAACCCTTTGAAATTTTAAATTATGGCACTATAAAGATAACGCAAAATGACGTCAAAATAGCCACCAGGAAAAGTTAACTCTTTCCTGGATAGGTATGTTTAGTGGGACAAGACTGCCCTCTACAGACCAAATAACTAATTTGCGATCTGGAAGATAACCACACCTCTAGTGCTTCTATTGGGTTATCAACTGATGACGTACAGAGAGTCTGGCCCTTTAAAAGTTAAGACAAAGGGAAGATAGAGATACAAGAAAGATACGAAGGAGGCAGATGCAAGATATGCAAAGGAGAGAAAAGAGAGGAATTGGAAGTTTGGGGACTCCAACCTCCATGCAGAGAGAGACATCCAAATAAGTTCCTGAGGCTACCAATCGGATGAAATATCTACTCAACTGGTAATTATACTGGTCTCATTTAATTAAATTAAATTAATTAAATTATATTAATAGCATTATATATGACTGGATAAAGCATGGTCAGATTTCCATATTAAGAAATCTTAGTTAACTAAGAATATATAGTTATAAACATTCCATTCTGCAGGTGGAATTAAGAATAATTATATATTGATGTGATATTATCACGTGTTAGCATACCGCTGTTTTTATCCACTCTGAGGAATTCTGTTCTTCTGTGAAAAGTTTCACTTTCAGCCTGTGTTAAGGATACCTCATAAATCGTAGAAGTCTTGACAGATAATGAGTTAATAGCCATTGAAACGTAATACCCATTTCTTTGTATTGCATATAATTTTGTACTGGATATTCATTGATTATTATCATGCATGTTACATATTATTATTAATTTGTTATTATAAATAAAAATCTATTTTTATACATTGTGATATTATTATATGAAATACATTCCACTTAACACGATAAACGTTCTTTGGGATCTGAGAATTGAATTAGTGGGCAATTCTCACTGTTACTATTATTATCCCATAAATATCCCCACAACCCCCTGGTGTTGAGCACCAGCGTTTGTGCAACCACATACCAGGACCCGATGCAGCTTCAGTAAAAAGAGTACTGGATACCAGAAGCCATCACCAGACTGATCCGCAACTTGGAATAGGATGTGACATTCATTGTAGCAGTTGTGCGCGCTTTCAGCATTCTCACCCTGCTGCAACTCACCTGTCTGTAAGTTTGGCCTTCCCGCTCACTGCCTCATATGCGACGTGCCCACAAGGTGGAACTCCACCAAGCACATGCTGGAGAGACTGTTTAAGCAGCAGCAGGCGATAGTGGAGTTTCAGCTGCAGCACGCACGGGTCAGTGGCTCTGCACCAGACTTTCCTCCAATTGATCAGAGTTAAAGGATTTCAAGTGGACTCATTACAATTACAGGGCCTCTAAAGAGTCCAGTATTGTTATTTGTTGTCACTATCTTCCCACGTTGGGAGTGGGTCATTTGCTCCTGCTGTCTTCCTTGCATGTGGTAGCCGTTTGTTAGGGTCCTTGTATGGAATGGAACCCTGATTCCCCATTACCTGTGGTCACCATGGTAGGTGCAGTCAATGGCATCAAAAGTTGATATGGATTGACATATGAATGCGTCATTGCCTTCTTGTTGGGGAGCACATTGAAAAAGTGCTCTAGCATGGCGAGCTGGGTGATCTCCTCCGGAAACTTGGCTTGATGGGAGTTGAGCCAGTTCTGGGAGGCCCTTGTGATGCCACGGTGTATACCCAGATATATCAGAGCTGCTGCCGAAAGTGCGGGCCGTCTGTCAGTAGCTCTGCGGAACAGATTTCTTTTTTTGTATGTCCCAATATTTTGGGGGCTACCCCAATTAAATAAAAAAATAGATATATAAACAGTGTTGGCTAGTTCCTCCTCCTCCTCCACCACCGCTTCCACCTACACCGCCACGGTCACCACCTCCTCAACCTATGGGTCACTTAGTATAAACTATGTACACAATAGCAGAGGCTTGTGAAGGCCTTTTCTCCATGCATCAGGAGTTGAGCATTTCTCCATGCATCAGGACTGCAAGAAATGCACCGCAGGCCAGAAATGTTTCTTTTTTTCTGTGTCCCAATATTTTGGGGGCTACCCCAATTAAAAAAAAAAATAGATATATATAAACAGTGTTGGCTACCTCCTCCTCCTCCACCGCCACTTCCACGGTCACTACCTCCTCAACCTATGGGTCACTTAGTATAAACTATGTACACAATAGCAGAGGCTTGTGAAGGCCTAAAGGTAAGAAGGGAGGGGGGGATATAATGCCTGCTTTTTTTTATTTTACTCCAAACACTCAATCCCTTCTAACATTCACACACATTACTCTCAGCACTCACACATATCACACACAGCACTTTCACAATACACATCACTCTCACACCCATCACACACAGCCCTCTCACACATAGCACTCTCACAAACATCACACACAGCCCTCTCACACATAGAACTATTACACACATCACACACAGCACTCTCACACCCATGACACACAGCACTTTCACACAACACATCACTCTCACACCCATCACACACAGCCCTCACACATAGCACTCTCACACCTTATAAGGATATGAAATAGTTAACTCTTTTTGCTTTATATGCTTTAAAATAATGTTTGAAATAATTATGCTGACCTTGGCAGATGTATTCTGTAACATGGTTTTGAGAGGCCTCCTTTCTACAGTATGTATGACCTCACTCGACCTCAGGATGTTCCTGTCCCGTCTTTATTCAAATGCTTATCTTTTAATGTCAGACAAGTATGTAAAATTAACTGCAAGGAAACGATAAATCTCGCTGCTTGCGTGACAAACTGTGTATAAATGCTAGCCCTGAAAATATCCTCACTGAGAACTTGTTAAGCACTCTTTCGTGTCTGTGTCTTAATTTGCTAAACAAGAACTCCCGTCAATTGATGTGGTGACCGGAGAATCGAGAATCGAGCGGAGTTGAGTCCAGAACAGTATTAACCCTTTCAGCTTGGTGTCAGAAGTGGGATCAGCAGGACCATTGGGTAAGTAGCCTTTTTGTGTCTTATTGACGCTGATTGTCTATGACCCCCTTTGGTTCAGTAAGTCTGTATCCAGTAGATAGGAAAGGTGTAAGGACTTTAGTTATATTGAGACTGTAAATAGGTCTCCAGTTTTTACTGGACAGTTGGTCTAGTATAGGGTTCTTGGTAACCCAGGTTAGTATCTAAGATAGATACAGGGTATCTCAGGTAGATACAGGTTTTGAGACTATAAAGGAGTCTCCGGTTTATTAAGACTATAGGTGTTCTAGGAAACACGGTTTATAGATCTAGAATAACCCAAACTTCCCATTCCCCTGGTCATCCTGTGTCTGCTTTGTGTTTATTTTGCTTGTTAAGTAGAGACACACTATTGGTAAGTAGGTAGTGTCTCTACCCTGAGCCAGAAATATGGGAAATAATCAGTCTATTTCTTATCCTTTACCCCACCCAGGGGAGTCATGTCTAAATTATGTTACTAGAATAGGAGCACAAGAAGGATTTCTTACAATCCCCTTTGTGTCAAATTTAGCAGGATGGACAGAGACTATGAAGTCATCAGATCCTTTTCCCAGATGTGGGGCTAATGATGATTTCCATATGAATATGATTCGAGGATTGTGTTTGGGAGATAGGAAGTCATGGCCACTGTATGGTCCTGATCCAGATTGGGATAAGGAATATATGAAAGCAGGAGGTGAAAATTGGTTTCAGATAGTCCCTCATTGGTTTCCTTGTAGTGTAACAGGAAAGGTTTTGAAGGGAGCTAAGAAAGACCTGGCTAAGAAAAAGGGAACTGTTGACAGTAATACCATCCGCTTTCCCTTAGAAGCCCCTCCTGAAAATCTATATCCACCACCAATTGTGCCCCCTACCCAGTCAACCCACGGCCATGCCCAACCACAACCCCCACCTCCCTATAAAGCAATGTATCCTGCTGTACCTAATGCCCCCTCAGAGGATGATATAGAAGATATTTGTATTGCTGCAGCTGTTAATTCACAATCACAGCAATTACAGGAATCATCATCTACACCAGATTCTGATATAAAATATCCACCACCACCTCCCGGTACAATTAAATTAACAGTACAAACGGGAGTTAAACTTAAAAGTGGCAAGGTGTTAAAATAATATGTACATAAGCAAGGTGATGATGATGTAAAGATGCCAGAATTAGAAGGTGCTGATCTTACTGCCCCGTTCATGACTGTTGGTAATCAGTTAATAATGAAACCCATTAATCCCGGAGTACTCAAGGACATTATTCAAGGTGCCCCAAACCCCCGTACTAATCCCTCTGCATGACTAATGTATCTGAAAAGAATGTGC